GAATATATTTATGTTCACATAGGACTGAAAAATTGTGCTCTACACTGGAATTTGACAAACATTGTAAAATGATTATAAATCAATAAAAAATTTTTAAAAAGCATAATTATATTCTATTAAATGCACAGATGTTATTTAGTGTTCAGTGAGTTTTCACAAGTGTATAAACTTGCCAAGTATGAGACAGCATATATCTAGAAAATTTCCTTGTGCACTTTTCTAGTCAATGCCCTTCCAGGCTCAAAAGAAACCATTATTTTGATTTCTATTCCCATAGATTAGTTAGGGAATACAAATCCATATTGATGGATTTGTATAATACCTCCTCTTTTATGTCTTTCTTCTTTCACTCAAAATACTTTTGAGATTCACCCAAGTTGTAATATGTATAAAGTGTGTATCAGTCTGAGTAGTAGTCTGTTGAAAGACTATCACAATTTATTTTTCCATTCGTCTGTTGATGAACATTTGGGTTGTTTCTTTTTGGTATTTTGAATAAACTAGTCAATAATTGTGAGTGAAAAATTAAAGTTTTTCTCTCTAAAAGAATTTCAATTATCTTTAAAATTTTCTTAGTCATAAAGATTGAGTGTAGGTAATTTAATGCTTATTTAAAGGCTTCTTTGTGGCAGTACCAATAAATCCATAACAGATTATTTTTTAAAAGCCACTCTTTTTCTATCTTTACCTTCTAATCTAATATACATAACTCAATTACTTAAGTACACAACCTGGGATTAGATTCTTGTAAGCCACAAATTCTCTTAGCCAAAGCAAGGCAAGAAGAGATGGTGGTATTATGGGTGCTTATCATTTATTTTCTTTCCAAGAACAGACTTAGTGAAGATATGACCTAAACCTTGCTTTGCAGTAAACCATCTCTTATCTTTTGGTTGGATATAACTTTTGATGCCCAAGGACTTTGTTCTAATGCCAATCTTGATTAGAAAAGGCAGAAACTGTAACCTTATTTATCAGTCTCCCTTTGAATAACAGTGTGAGCATTGACAAAAGAAAAGAGAAAATTGTATACAGCTTTTTTTTAGAAAGTGATTTTTACAACCCCATGGGAGAACAGGAGGTGAGGTGCTTGAAAAGCTGAAAGCAAAGAGATAGAAAGGAAAGGGGTGGGGGGTGACATTCACAAAATGATATAATTACATCTTTCTTGTGGTTTGAAGGTTCTTTCCATCAAAATTCATTCACAAAGATATGATTTTATTTAATAATGTGTACCTACCTTTTGTTTAAGGTCAATTAAGTTATGATCTTAGGAAGAATTTTTGTATCTTCCTGCAAAACTGTTGTGTAAGATGTATCCTGAGTGGGATTTTAAAATGCAGAATAGATAAACAAGATTATACTGTATACCACAGGGAAATATAAACAAGATCTTGTGGTAGCTCATAGTGAAAAAAAAAAGTGACAATGAATATATATATGTTCATATATAACTGAAACATTGTGCTTTACACTAGAATTTGACACAACATTGTAAAATGACTATTACTCAATAAAATATTAAAAAAAAATGTATCCTGGATCAGATTTTTCTTAAACTGAGGTCTTCAGGTCCCCAGGTCAAGCGATATATACTTGGCAGTTTGAAAGTTCTACCAATATGTTTTAGTCTTTTTTTTTCTTTTAATTTAAACGTGGTATACTTGATGTATAACATTATATAAGTTTCAGGTGTACAACACAGAGATTCACAATTTTTGAAGATTATACTACATCTATAGCTATTATTATAAAATACTGGCTATATTCCCTGTGTTATATAATATATGTTTTAGTTTAGTTTTGCATTTCATTTCAGTGTTGCTTAAAATGATATTTTATCACACATTAAATTAGAACTTCTCTTTTGCTATGATAACTCATCACTGTAGGTATTTTCCTAAAGAAGACTTTTCTTTTTTTTTTACCTGCTTATTGTGGTAAAATATACAAAACACAAAATTTACCACTTTAACTATTTTTTAAGTGTATAGTTCAGTGGCACAAAGTACATTCACATTGCTGTATATATTTTAATTACAGCAGTATTTCTTAAACTGGAATTTTCAATATTTGTAAATTTCAAAAGAATATTTTTTCCCTTTTATAAAGGGTTTGTATATTACTTGAGATTAGGACTCAGTATTCTAGGTTATAAATTCCTCTTACAATGTAGATGTTTTTCTCCTGATAAATAAAGATTCTTTCTTTGGATAATGAGTATGATACAGACTACTAGTTTTTCCCTTTATTACCTAGAAATGCAGAACAGAATTCAATTTTTAATTGTAATCATTTTCTCTGTTCCCAATATAATTACTTGCCCATATATTTTAAAATTTTCCTTTAATTGTAAATTGTCCTATTTTACATGGTTCACATTATACCTTTTAGTAAGTACATACAAGTTTTAAATGTACACTGAAATTTGTGGATCTAAGCTGTAAACTTTAAATTACATATAGTGTAAATTAAATCTAAGTATTAGGAACTCCTTTCTTCAGTAGTAGCAACTAACATTTTTAAAGTATTTACAATGTGCCAGGACAATCAATTTACTGTGAGTTACCTAGTAAAATCCTACGATGCAGGTACTATTATCACCCCCACTTCATGTAAGTTCAAAGAAATGAAAAAATCTTTCACAATGTCCTGAAGCAGTTGTTAGGATTCAAGCCTGGTTGAACTCCGAAGCTCAGGCTCTTTAACCATAATGCACATTGTATCTCAAGCTGCACACTCTACTTTGCATTACTGACGGTTTTTCTCAAGCTGCACACTACTTCGCACTATTTATGGTTTTCCTGAGATTCTTTGCGGGTGAACACTCCGTTTCCCCCAACGAAGCAGAACCCTGTCTTCTAACAAGCTTTTTGCCCTTGCACCAAGTTTCCTAACACGTTCGCCCTCAGTGCAGTCCTACCCCCTCCTCCTCACACCCTGGCAACCACAGCAGGGCCCTGTCCTCTCACATCTCGGTCCCTGTGAGGATCCTGGTCCCTTCAGACCCTGATTTCCTAGTAGGGCCCCAACTCCTCAGACTGGTGATTCCGACAGAGAACCGTTCCATCAGGCCCTCGTCTCCGCGAGTCCTCAGACGCTGCTTTTCCAGCACAGGTGCGATTCTTCAGCAGCAACCCTCAGCAAACTTTCCCAGAGACTTCTCCGTACAACGGTCCTATCCCAACCCCTAAGTAACGGTACCTCTCTACCTTTCTCCTTTCCAGTTTTCTCTCAGAATCTTGTTTTTCGCTCTATTCTCTTTTTCTGATTCTTATTCACTCTCAACTTCCTCCACCGTCTGGTGGCCCGGTTTCAGTAACGGGAGTCTCCCCAAAACTTACCCAACGCGCTCTCTCCGAGGAGCCGCGATCTCAAACGTCTCCGTACTTCACCTCTCACCTTTGTTCCGGCGGTCTCACTAGGCGCTCCCCCCACTCGCCCCGCCCCGAATAAGCCTTTCGGCCAGTCACCGAGCGAAACCCCGCCCCCTCCAAGCCTATTGGTCATCTTTCCTGAAAAGTCCCGCCTTCCCAGCTTCCAGCCCGCCTCCTCGCCCCGCATCCCTTGTTTTCATTCCCCCTGTCACACGAGGCAGTGGCAAACCCGAAGTGGGAGGAGCGAAGTAGAGGGGGTGGGGCGGAAAGAGGGCGGAAAGTGAAAGGCACGGAGTGCCTCTCTTTCCTCCGTCTGACTGTTCTCGACTGCTCTGGGCCGCCGTTGTATTGTGGGATCGCGGCGCCGTGCCTGAGACGCTCGGATCCGCAGGGGCGCTCACTTGCTAGCGCCTCCTGTTGTTGGTACGGTTGCTCTACCATTCCTCGGCACCCCAACTCCCTCCACCCCCCCCCATCGCCTCCTCCTCCATCCTCCAGTTCAAAATGGCGGCGGCGGCGGCAGCGGCGGCGGCGATGGCTCCTCCGGGCTGCCCAGGTTCGTGCCCCAACTTCGCCGTAGTGTGCTCCTTCTTGGAGCGCTACGGGCCGCTGCTCGACCTGCCTGAACTGCCGTTCCCCGAGCTGGAGCGGGTGCTGCAAGCTCCGCCGCCGGACGTCGGCAACGGAGAAGGTAAGCGAGGGGCCCGAACGCCCGGCGGGAAGCGGCCCTGGCACGCTCCTTCTCTCTGCTCTTCACACAACCCGGGCCTCCGCGGTTCTGTCCTCCTCCTGGGGCGCAGTTCCGCCCAACGCGTCTTCTCCGCCTAGCCCCGGGGGTCTTGGGCAGTGGGGAGGCGGGGCGGAGGCCCCCGAGGGCCACTCCGCCGGACCCCCGGCGGAGGTGGGGGCGTCGCGCCTAGGTCCGGGCTGAGGGTGGGGAGGGGTCATTGTGCGGGTCGGCCACCCCTGAGATTGCTATCCCGAGGCGGGGGCCGGTACCCCACCCCTTCTCCCTCTGGGTGGCGGGGGAAGGGGAGCGCAGGTTCCGGCCAGCTTTGCGCTTTTCTCTCCCACCCCCCCTCACTCTCTCCCCTCCTCCCTCCATCCTCCCGACCATCTCGGGGGAGGCTAGGCTCATCTCAGGGCGTCCCTTTCTCTCCCTCCACCTGGGTGGGCGGGGGCCAGCGGACACTTCATCTCTCCCTCCCTCTAGTGGGAACTCCCCCGAGAGAGTCGGCTCTGGTCTCTCTTCCCTTCCTCTCCAGGGCCGGTTTAACCCTCAAAACTCCTTCCTCTGAGTCGAGAGGTTTGCTCCTCCCCCATAGGTGGGGGTCTCTTCCATTCTTGCTTTGGGGGACGAAGTCGGTTTGGCTTCTTCACTTTGGAGGGTAGAGGGTTAATTTCTCCTCCCCCATAGTTTTCCTCCTCCTTTACACCTCCCCCCAAATAATGGAAAACCATCTCCCCACTTTTCCAGTCCCTTCCCCCTTCATCTTGGCAGTAGGTCTTAGGGGAAGAAGAAGTCGCCCTCCCATATGCAGGGTAGGGTGGGGTGGTTAGAATGTAGGCTGGAGGAGGGGCTCAGACGGAGGGGGAAACAGTTGAAGAAGGTGCTTGTTGCTCATGTTTCTCTCTCTGGTGCCGCTGGTCTATTATTGGTGTTCGCAAGTGGTGCTCCTTCCACATAAGGCCACCGCGCGGGTGCAGGGCGCATGCTCTGCCCGGCCCCATTGAAACTTCCTGCTGCTGCTGCTGCTGCTTCTGGCTCTTTAGCTGGAGCATCTCCGCGCTGCGCTTGCTGCCTCCAGCCCTCACTGAGCGCATACACTCACCCCCTATTTATTCCTGATCCTTGCCTCTCCTTTCCTGGCATATTTCTTCCCTCAGAGAAAGGTTTTTTGTTGTACCCTGAGCATTGCATTTATCTGGGAACAGCCCTTGGCTGGAGAAGAAACATTTTCCAAATAGATCTTCCCCCGGTCCACACTTTATCCGTATTAGGTGGCCAGGGTGGACTGGTTATGGTACAAAACAGGTAGCTATTTCCTTTCCAAGAAAGCAGGGTCGCTCTTCAGTTCTCCATGGAAATGAAGTTTCTGTTAACAGGATGTATTTACTTAGCTAAGAAGAGCCCAAATGTGAAGTTCTTCTAAGTATTACCTATAGAGAAAATGATGTTACAGCTAACCAAAGACTCAAATTAATACAGCAGTCGTGGTACAAGCACATATCTCTTCTTACCTGCCCAAATCTCCTCTACCATTAATTAAACTCTGGCATATAAAAGGTTACATTATACATTATATAAAGATTTCCTGTAGAATTCCTTGAAAAGTTAAGCTCCGCAGTATAGTAATTTCAATTACAATTTGTTATCAAATTGCATTTACATTCAATTTTTAAGGAAATGGTCATTGTGAAGAATGAGTTGTAACTTACTTGGAAATTAATGTAATGTATCTATAAGAAAGAAATTTGGGAATTTGGGGAAAGGGATTGCTGGTAAATTTTTTTTTTAATTTCACTGTTTTTGAAATGGAGGTACTAGAGATGGAACCAAGGACCTTGTGCATGCTAAGCATGCCCTCTACCATTGAGCTATACAACCCCCATAAATTGTTTCCGGATTTTACTTGGACCAGGTTGGAAGGCAGGTGTAAACTTTCTGTCATGGCATTATATTTTGGGTGGTATACAAGATTACTTGCCTCTCCATTCCTTTTAAGTATTTTGGCCACTGCATTTGGCTTCTGTTAATAACAAGAAAAAATATCAGGGTCAGTTATTACTTCATGTTACCTTTCTTTCTAGAGTTGAACAGTAGGCTACCAGCTAAGTGAAAAATAGGAAACAATATGGGCTTAGGAATTATACCAGTGGGCTCACCCACTGCATTACTGTTACTATGATTGTGGCTATAACAATAAATCTTGTTATAAGGTGATCTAATAATAATTATTAATTAATGTTACACAGTTCAGGAAACTTGGCAAATGAAAAGTCTCTGCAGAAGAGGTGTTGTTACTGTGCAGGGAAAAGATTTTCAGGCCTTTGGTGATGATTAACTACTTGTAGCTGATGAAACTACTGGTCCAACTAAGATTTGAACTGAGTTTTTTGGGGAAGGAGTTGTGATGAACGGTGTAATATTAATATGTAGGTTGTGGGGCAAATTACTTAATTTCTATGGACCTCAGTTTCTTGAATGAATAGAGATAATACCTCAGGATCAAATGAAATGTTTCAAAAATCCTTTTATAAACCAAGCACTTACAAATATTCTTTTTGTTGGTCTGAAGTTAACTTTATTTTATTTTTTTAAAATATATTTTTATTGAAATACAGTCGGTTTACAATGTTGTGTCAATTTCTGGTGTACAGCACAATACTTCAGTCGAATAGGAACATATATACATTCATTCTCATATTCTTCACCATTCGTTACTACAAGGTATTGAATATGGTTATATTCTTGTATTAGAAATTTTATTAAAGATGCTTATTAGCTAGAAGACACACAAGTGCATTTAAAATTAAATTGTTAAATTTTTAGCATGTAGTGAAAAAGGGATTGAGCTCTTCTGCTCTGGGGAAAAAGTCTTTGTCATCATCAAGTTTGGAGGCTAGTGGAAAAGGATTATTCTGAATAGGAAAAAGACGTGCCAACTAAAGGTGTCATTTTATCCCCGCTCCCTCAACGTCTACTGTAGCCCTCCTAGTTCTGTGCTCTGTATGGATTTTCCAGCTTCCTCTTGACAGGAGGTGGATGATCAGGAGGTATGAATATAAATGAAAGTGGACATTGCTTTTGTAGATAACTAACATCCAAGGCTCCCAAGTATCTCCCCTCTCTTATAGAGAACATAATGTTTCAAGTGGGAAATTTCCTTTTTCATTCTTTAAGGATAGTTTTGTGTGGGTATTGATTGAGAAGTTACATAAATCTAAGAACAGTCTGTTGAGGTGTGTATAGATAATGGTTGACTGAGTTATTATATAGTATTAAATAAGTTGAATCATTAGGGTATTTTTTGGTTTCTTTTTTAATTTTTAATTTTTAGAGCAGTTTTTGGTTTGTTTTTTTGCATTTTTTAATAATTTGAAATTTAACTCTTATAGTCAAAATGTCAAGTATAAAAGGATATGCCTTTTATTTTTAACTGGAGTAATGACTGTGACTTAATATGCTCTCTCCTACTGATGCTAATTGAATTGTGTGACGGTAGTTTTTAGGTGCATTCATAAAGTAGAAAGGTGACATTACCTTCAGTTGCTTTGAGCTGAAGATCTTACCAGCTATGTGTGCCAGGAGTTGCTTGGGGTCTACAGTGGTAGACTGTTGGTGGTAGCATTGCTGGAACCAGAGCCTCATTTGGTCGAATATGTCCAGTTTTGGCTCTTCCACCTTTGAAAAAAGAAATATTCCTTAGACATCTGTTTGAGGGAGAAATAGAAAGGTACTTCTTCTCCATCATTTTTGGTATATCATAGAGTTGAGGTAACCAAAATTTATGGAGGCTTGGAGGGAGGTTGCTGGCATCA